CCCAACTTTTTTGGAGTGTGTTGTAGCCATCAAAATCAAAATTTGTTTATATTCACAAAATAAAATTGAGTTGGCCAGTGAAAACATTAAACATTTCTTTCTTTGTACTTTAGTCAATTAAATAAATGTGAAAGAGAATGAACAAATCATATATTCTTGATTATATCGCATTTCACAAAACGTCCCAGCTTTTCTGGAATTGGGGTTGTAAATTTAGGGGTCCTTTGAAGACTTTTAGTATATGCATATTCAGAAAATTAAATGGAATGAATGAATATTCAGGAAATTAAAAGTAGAACTCATAGATACCAAACATATTTTATAGTTCAAAACTCGCATCAATTACTCATCATTTACAATTCCATATCTGTATGACCCGTTGCACTTCTTTCTTCCGTTCACGGCGGTAAAAGGACACATACAGCCCTGCTCTACTTTTTTTTTTCGTTCGAGAAGGCACTTCACTTGAATATACATCACAGAAGGGAACAATAGATGTGTAATGCAGACTTTAAATTGCACTATATGTGAAATCACCCTAAAGCTTTAATATACATATAAAATATTAAATCTAAGAATTAGGCTTTACAGTGTAAATGAGGCCTAGGTTGATCTTTAAAACAGGGTGAAACAACCCAGAACATCTAAACCCAGTGCTTAAATTTTAAACCATTGTTTCATTGTGCGATACACCAGTTGAACATAACTCATAAGTTCATACTCATTAATACCCAAGATTCAATCCAGTAGATTCCTGGGGTTTTATGCTTTATACTTCAGCATGAATAGTTCTTCTCTTTATCTCCTCCTCCTCCCTTCCTTTCCACCACTCACAGTACATCAGCTTCCTGAAAGTAACACCTTTGGAATCAGCCAGGAGCAAAACAAGCAGCACACTGACAAATCCCCCCAGTTCTCCCTACATCCCATAATGCCATCTGTTAGACAGCATCTCCACTGTGATTAGGTCAGCCCCTTCTGCCTCTTATGCCTTAAGAGTGCTAATTGGATTTCTGCCAGGCAGTTTGGAGTTTTTGAGAGACAGATAAGAGATAAAACTTTATATACTTTATATACATGCTGCCCTCTATCCCCCGAAGGCGTTGGCCCTGATTTAGAGAACCAAAGCAGAACAAGAGAGTTTATGTTCTCTTTAACCATGAGAATCAGTCCTGTTCTTTCCCTTTCCAGTGATGCAGTTCTACAGCAATCATAACTTAGTACAGAACATCAAACTCTTTATGTCAGTACCAAAACTTAATGGCTTTGATCTTGAGATTAATTAGACAGAATAGTTTTAGAAATTCATTAGAGCATCAAATAAGCACGTTTTAATAAGTACAGGCAAACAACAATCCAATAAATTTCTACATCCAAAGTTCTGGCATGAAACTCTAGATGGCTCAGTCCAATAGATCAAATTCAGTCTGACATAATGACATCATTCAATTAAATTTGTCAATTTCACTTTATTGTTGGAATTTCTTCCAAAAATGGTCTTGCATCCCATAGCATTTACTGTCTAACATTAATCCACAGCAATACACATTACACAATACAATGCAATACACACACACACAAAAGTACACATTAGTACACATCTATCTGCAGTGCAAATACTTAAGTACCTTCCATTCCTCCGAATCTTGCTGCCTACTTAGACCCCCTATTCTGATTATTCTGATTAATTAATTTTAATGACTGATGAACAAAAGATTTCCGTAATCTGTTCATTGTGGCATATGGTACTCTCAGTCTTCTATTTGGTGGCAAAAGTTGATATCCTCAGACAGAGTATGGGAAGAATCAGACATAATTTTACCTGTCAGGGACAAAACAATGTTCTTGTACAACTCATGAAAACTTGGCTCAAGCATTTGACCCACAATCTTAGAACAGTTAATATCAATCTCGCCAGTCGAGCTTTGAGTTGAACAGAGAGACAGCTATACCATGTACATATTCCATATTGTACAACACTCTGTATTACAGATTGAAAAAAACATGAGCAAAATCTGTTTGTTTGCTCCAAAAGACCTGTCTCCTGAGGAAATAAATACGCTGTTGTACTGTACAACAAACATACTCTATATGTGCACTCCATTATAAAGCAGCGTCCACTAGACACCCAAGTATTTATATGCAGACAATCTATTGATATAGACAATCAATTTATATGCATCATTATCACATTGCTCAGCTGATTGGTTCTTTTTGTATCAGCAGACAATGAGCTTGCTGCTCAACATTCAAATACTTGGCAAGTGCTTGCTGTAGCAATTGCAGCACGCTTCAGAAACCCTCAAACTTCCCCAGCTCCACTTTCATAGATCTGCTACGGGGTGATTGATGTATGCTATATGGGGCTTATTTCATATATGTTATGTGCAACAGTACTATTTATTAGGTCCCACTTTATATTAAGTGGCCCTAATACCTGTGTACTTACATAGTAACTAGATGTGTACGTAGTATGTAACCACTGTGTAAGTACATATTGGTACATAGTATCTAGAGCTGTAATATTTCTGTAACTACACACATGTAACAACCCTCCGAATGGTTTGTGCAAGTACAAATGTGTAACAGGACATATATAACTACATTTTGTAACAACAATATGTATAAGATTGATTGGAGCAATTTGATCCAGGGGGTGGAGATGGATAGGTTTAGGGGTGGAAATGGGATCCAGGGAGTGGAAATGGGTAAGTTTAGGGATATGTAAAGTGGGAGGAGTTGGATCTCAAGTTGGTGGAGTTGGTGCACCACTGTAATACCAGTGGACTTACATGGTAACTCCTCAGGAACTGTCCACTTAATATAAAGTGTAACATTCTGGACACCAACCACTATTTATATGTAAAGCCTAACTTACTGGGCGCTGCTGTGTAAAATCAGAGTAATGACATAGTAAATCCATAGGAATTGTTTACTTAATATAAAGTGAAACACTTTCTTTACCAAAAAGTGCTATCAGTCCTGTTATACATTTGTACTTTCATTACCAAAAAGTTGTGGATGTATTGGCAGTAGCAAGTCTCAGTACTCAGCAGCGTAGCAGATCTATTCCGGCAAGACCAAACACATTAACATTGTCATGTACATTACCATGTCAAACCCTCCGAGAGTTTTCATGACAGAAATATATTTTATGAAAATTAGGAATTTCATGCATATTGGTTTGGCTGGTTAGCATGACCTTATTAGACTTTTTACAGTAGCATCTTTTTCTATTAGGTTTGATAATCGATTTGATTTCAAGTTTGATTTTATTTGTTTATTTAAAGACGACCCTTATACTGCATTTATTTAATCAAAAATACCATAAAAACATATATATATATATATGCATACATGTTATGAAATATTATTACAATTTAAAAAAAAAAAATTATATTTGAATATATTTTAAAATATAATTTATGTCTGTAGCAAAACATTTCTTATTATTATCAATGTTAAAAACAGTTGTGCTGCTTAATATTTTAGTGTAAACTGTGATACTGTTTTTTCAGGATTCTTTGATGAATAGACACTTCCAAAGTACAGCATTTATTTGAAATAGAAACAAATGTCTTTACTCTCATGTTATCAATGTAATGCCACCCTTCAAAAAATAATAAGTTCTTTCAAATAAATAAATAAATAAAAAATAAAAATAGAATAGCTGGTGTTTACCAGTACCTGACATGTTCTTATAGTGTCAAACAGCATTGTCATTAAATTATTTTTCTACAACTCCAGAGTCACATGATATTTTTGCAGCTCAGATGATCTGCTCAAAAATGTTGTGATGAACATGTCAGAAATGTGTTAGAAGTATTGTTATTGGTTCATCAATACTAATAAATGTAACTGTAATTGATACTGCCTTCATCTCCAGGCACTTAACACTCTGAAGTGAGGCAGCATGATTGATCTGTTTTAGTAGTGTGATGCATCTAGGCTTAATTTTATCCATTATTTAAACAGGTTAAAGCATTTGTGTTGCAGTTTTTGGAGTATTGCAGAAAAACCATGTTGCAGTGGCATGAACACACACATTAGGATCTGTGCTTTCATGAATACTTTAGAGCTACAGTTCATGGTTGTGTTTGTGTGGCTGCTTTGGGAATCTTTCCATGGGAGTATTGCAGAAAAACCATGTTGCAGTGGCATGAACACACACATTAGGATCTGTGTTCATGGTTGTGTTTGTGTGGCTGCTTTGGGAATCTTTCCATACATCTGTTTCTTTGTGGCTTTTGAGCTTTTGTTGATCAATATCAAACACTGCTGTATCAATGACAAATGCAGTGAGACCAACCACAAAACTTCAACAAAAGAGGGAAACAAAAGATGCTAAAAATGATAGAGCACATAGGGAACTGGAGAAATAAAGAGGGTTATAATGGAGCATTGTTTGAAAACTTTTATGTAATGTTGACGATAACTTTAATTGTGTGTTGACATTGTGAATTGCACAGACATCAAACATGCATACATCACTTGACACATTTAAAGGGTTAGTTCACCCAAAAATTAAAATTAGCCCATATATTACTCACCCTCAAGTCATCCTAAATGTATATTACTTTCTTCTTCATCGATTCGCTACAGAAAGCCTTTGTTCAACCCCTGGAGCCGTGTGAGATGTTTGAAAATTACAGGCCTCTCTCATCTTTTTAAGTGGGAGAACTTGCACAATTGGTGGCTGACTAAATACTTTTTTGCCCCACTGTATATATAAAAAAAAATTTTATTTTATTTTTTTTTCTTTCTTTTTTTTTCTTTTCCACTCTATAGAAGGAAGAAGGTTAAAGGTTTGGAACGAGTAAAGGATGACAGAAATTTCTTTTTTGAGTGACCCTCAAGAAAATGGACATACATAATCTAGTACTATAGTTCTAGTAGTTTGTTTGATTCAGGGAGTTAAACAGAACAATCAACACTTGTAGAAAATATAACCATGGTTACAACAGCAAGGAAAATGAATGAGAATCTTTGAGCCTAATCAGACCGTAGTGAGACATTTATGCGAGTAAAGAAGAAAGTCATATACACCTAGGATGACTTGAGGGTGAGTAATTTATTCATTTTTGGGTGAACTAACCCTTTAACGCTTTCTGACAGTGAGATATGGATCCTGAAACAAGGTAAATAGTTCATATCTCACACTGAATAACTTCTCACATTTGAAAGCAGATAATAATACATGTGCTTTTAATTTCATGTTGTTCCTTTTTTATGTTAATAGCAGGAAATTCTTTGGCAATATTCAGGTGTAGATCAGCTGCAAAATATGTACATTGTTTACTGTTACAAATCTGTATGAGCCATTACTTTCTTCCATGGGAAACACATAAGCACAATTTGTGAGAAACAGACAAAAAAATAATTATTCAGTATCATTTTGAAACGCTGCATTCTCTGATCACTATATGCTTTTATAGGGGGGAACCATGTTTTTCATATATATTTATACTACAATGTGATTTTCTGGATTTTTTTTCTCATTTTGTCTCTCATAGTTGAGGTATACCTATGATGAAAATTACAGGCCTCTCTCATCTTTTTAAGTGGGAGAACTTGCACAATTGGTGGCTGACTAAATACTTTTTTGCCCCACTGTATATATAAAAAAAAATTTTATTTTATTTTTTTTTCTTTCTTTTTTTTTCTTTTCCACTCTATAGAAGGAAGAAGGTTAAAGGTTTGGAACGAGTAAAGGATGACAGAAATTTCTTTTTTGAGTGACCCTCAAGAAAATGGACATACATAATCTAGTACTATAGTTCTAGTAGTTTGTTTGATTCAGGGAGTTAAACAGAACAATCAACACTTGTAGAAAATATAACCATGGTTACAACAGCAAGGAAAATGAATGAGAATCTTTGAGCCTAATCAGACCGTAGTGAGACATTTATGCGAGTGTGTCATTTACAGAGCACTTTTCAGGGTACTACTTCTCATATCTGAAAGTGGGTATGTGTATTAGATAGCAATAGGTCATATAACAAGTTAGCGGTGCCTTTAACAGTGGAGAGAGCTTCACATACCTTACCGCAGAGATAAAAACCTCATTAGTTCCTAAGGGAGGACGCTTTTCCTCACTAATCTGATCTGAGAACAAATGTCAGACGAGAAGCCAATACTGTGGTGGTCGACCACAACTGACTGGGGATCAGCTTTCACACAAACCCTGATCTGGAAAGAGAAACACAGGTGCATCCTTGATATTCAGACTGACCTCCACACTGGAGACTGGAGATATCTCACATGTTTTATGTCTATGAATGACTCACATTCCATCTCAAAGATACTGATAAAGTTATTTTTTATTGACTCGAGCCTTTCCTTTTCCCTCTTTTGTAAATTAAGCATGTACGTATACCAGCAGCTGTAAAACATTTGTTTATTTTGTTCCACATTTGATCTCCTGTAATGGTTTATTCCTTAAGGTTGCATGGATTCACCACATTTCTACTGATGCACCGACCAGTGCGAGAGAGAATCAAAGAGAATAACTTCACATCTATGCTCTTGCAAGACACAAATTACCCATCTGCCTGTCTGAGCTTTCAGCACAGACGTGAACTTCGTCTTTATACAGACATCCTTCTCCCTTTGTTTGTCAGGAAGCACCTGTTTGCTCTTCAAACAGGTGAAAACAGCTTGAAAAGAAAGTTGTCTTCAAGGACAACTGTGAATATCGCCCAAAATTTCCATTACCCCATGCGATCTCCAGCCGTAACATAATGAAAGGTAGCAAGCGTAATGAAAACACCTGTCATATTAAGGGATGGGAACTTATTCAGTCTGAGATACAAAAAATTTGCATCTATTCAGAATCCATTTTAGTTACTTTGACCTTACGATTTTAATTTTTGAATGAAATTATCAAATGTATAGAAAATAATATTTAATTTGCTCCAGCCAAATGGAGATTTTCAGACTTGGCGTCAAATGAAAGATGGAGAGAGATATCTACCATTTTCTTTGAACATACGGAGTCCGGAACATGCTGATGAAATGATTAGTGGTTCCCGTCTTAATATACATTTTTCTTCTGTCATTTATATTAGATTTTCATCTGCCCATGATGGTTTGAAGTTCTCGTAAATGGGGTTTTCAAAGTCTACCAACAGTTTCAAATATATCCGATGAGATTTACAGATTAGGACGATGCCGAGTAGAAGCTCCATCAGAGAGGAAGCAAAAAAAAACAATGATCGACAGCTGGCAATAGCAGGATGAAGTGATAGAGGGGGTGGGGGATGTGATGAAAGGTGGGAATGAGTGCTGAGTGCTTTTGAGAGATGGTTTGAATAATTTGAATTATAGCCAAACACACCTTTTCCTGCAAAACCCTCGTAAGCTCATAAATGGTTCGCTGATGTTCACACACAGCTGGGCTCATTAGCACGGTGTCTAGAGAGATGAGCTGGGCAGAAAATAGAGGGAGCAAGTTAGAAAGAGACTAAAAAACTGAGACAGATAGACACACCTGAAGCAAACTAGGACAGAATGTTGAAAAAAGAGAGAAAAGCAGTGCTTTTGACATTAAAGTGAAGCGAGGAAGAAAAGGCGGGCTTTTGTGCGGTCATTCACGTCATAGAAGTTGAGCTAAAGGCTCAAGACCTTTCACATACCACTGCTGTCTTGTGCATGATACACTATGGCGGACACATGCTCTGCTGTGCAGGTCTCATGGTGTTCTGCAGGTCAGGAAATGTACTTGGGAGTTAAATCACTTTTAAAAATCCCGTGCCATGCCTCTATTCTTATTTGACACTTAGCCACTATATGTCTCCAGGAAATCCAGGTGGCAAATAATCAGAGATTTGTAAGATCTGTTGTAACATTTATTCACATGCCTGCATCTGTTGTAGGTATGATGGAGGACAGGAGAAAGCATTGAAGTCATCTCTGAATGATATTTTGACATTGCTTGGCACTTGGCAGCCACTTACAATGGCGTTCTTTCATCTCTACTCGGGCAGTTCTGTTCCAGTTCACAATTCACACCATCAGGGATGAGAATCCCAGAATGATCAGAGATCATCATGATATCACAGGATGTCATGCATCTGTAGTGAGGGGTATGGTTGGAAAGGAGAAACAACTGACTAGGCCATCCTGTCAATAGGGAAATATTAATACTTAGTGACTGATCAGCAACAAAGGACACACAGGAGCATGGTTTGAAAAAGGAGGGCCTTAGACTTGAATAGCAAATTACAAAACTTTATTTTAACAATCAAGCACTAATTTTAAAATAATTAACGGACAGTGGGACAAGGGCTAGAACAAACATGAAGAAGACAAAGAAACAATGACAAGTAAGTTAGTTAATGAGCAAAAGGCGTCTCTATCACAAAAATCTTCCCACCCAGTGTACTGGTCACACAACACACAAACGTAAAGTAAAGTCACACACACATAAAGAGTCCCACCACCACACACAAGGGCCAACTTGTGTAGACTTGGCTCCTGCAACAAGAAACAAAATTAACCAAAATAATTTACAAGTAAGCTAAAGGTAGATACTCACACATCTTACTGAGACTTGTGACGTCACTTCCTGTTTGTTGCTACTGAGTGTGTTGAGTTTGAGCTCCATCAAGTTAATTATTTATAGTCTATTTTTTATCTTAAAATCAATTTTATACACCATCATTTCCATTTCTATAACATGTGAATATATCCCTTATCATATTCTACAACAAAAACAATCAGAGTGCCTTGTTATCACTAGTTTTATTTTGATTTCCCGAGTTCTCTATTAGCTTATAGCCCGTTAGCATCGCCAACATGGTTGCCGCTAATCTCGCTTACATTGCTAATACTCTATTCACACACATTACCATTGTTTTATTCACTGATACTTGCTTTAATGGATGTATGTGCTTTAATAGATAAAGATGTGTGTCTACCTTTGAGTGCAGGTGAGGACACGAGCTGGAGGCCTTGGAGAAACAGATCCGTGACCTGGTGGAGAAGCAGGCCCAGATTTTGATTTCCCGAGTTCTCTATTAGCTTATAGCCCGTTAGCATCGCCAACATGGTTGCCGCTAATCTCGCTTACATTGCTAATACTCTATTCACACACATTACCATTGTTTTATTCACTGATACTTGCTTTAATGGATGTATGTGCTTTAATATGAATACTGCTGATGAGGCATTAAACTGGCCTCCTGACATTCTGTTGTCATGATTTCCCCACCTCAGTTACGAATTTGAATTAGTTTTCTTTTTGAAGCTGGTAGCACATTCTGATGGCTGGTAGGTCGTTGTGAAAAACTAGCTTGCTGCTGGAGCTAGTTTTAGTCCGGCCAGCAGGGGGTGCCCATTCCCTGACTTGTATGGGTGCAAATGTCTTAGGATAATGACTTGGACATCAGAATGTAAAACGAAGCAACCTTCTCGTAAAGCGTTAGACCGGTACCTGTAAAAAGGAGCGTAGTTCAGATGAGGCATTAAACTGGCCTCCTGACATTCTGCTGTCATTTTTTCCCCAACTTAATCATGAATTTGACTTCATTGTTTAAGCTGGTAGCGCATCCTGATGGCAGCATTGAGCTTGTCAGGATGCGCTACCCCTCTAAAAGAGCAGCTTTATTAAGGCGGAGGCTACGAACGCAGCTGTGGCATGCAGTAGGCAGAGTCTGGTTCCTCACTAACGCTAAGCAGGCCAGAGCCTGGTCAGTACACTGGTGTGAGACCATTTGTGAAAATGTAACTTGCTGCTGCAGCTAGTTTTAGTCCAGCCAGCAGGGGGTGATCATTCCCTGGCTTGAATGGGTGCAAAAATCCTAGCATAATAATGCGGACTTTAAAGAGTGAATACTGCTGATGAGGCATTAAACTGGCCTCCTGACATTCTGTTGTCATGATTTCCCCACCTCAGTTACGAATTTGAATTAGTTTTCTTTTTGAAGCTGGTAGCACATTCTGATGGCTGGTATGCAGTTGTGAAAAACAAGCTTGCTACTGGAGCTAGTTTTATTCTGGCCAGTAGGAGGTGCTCATTCCCTGACTTGTATTGGTGCAAAAGTCTTAATATGACAAATCGGACTTCAGAATGTAAAACGAAGCAACCTTCTGATAAAGCATTAGACCGGCACCTGTAAAAAGGGGCGTCGTTCAGATGTGTCATTAAAATGGCCTCCTGACATTTTGTTGTCATTAATTCCCCACCTTAATCATGAATTTGACCTCATTGTTTAAGCTGGTAGCGCATCCTGATGGCCGCATTGAGCTTGTCAGAATGCGCTACCCCTCTATTAGAGCAGCTTTATTAAGGCGCAGGCTTCGAATGCATCTGTGGCAAGCATGAGGCAGAGTTTGGTTCCTCACTAAAGCTAAGCAGGCCAGAGCCTGGTCAGTACACTGGTGGGAGACTATTTGTGAAAATGTAGCTTGCTGCTGCAGCTAGTTTTAGTCCAGCCAGCAGGGGGTGCTCATTCCCTGACTTGTATGGGCGCAAAAGTCTTAGTATAACGAATCGGACTTCAGAATGGAAAATGAAGCAACCTTCTGATAAAGCATTAGACCGGCACCAGTATGCAGAGTCTGTATACTCACTAAAGCTAAGCAGGCCAGAGCCTGGTCAGTACACTGGTTGGAGACCATTTGTGAAAATGTAGCTTGCTGCCGCAGCTAGTTTTAGTCCAGCCAGCAGGGGGTGATCATTCCCTGGCGTGAATGGGTGCAATAGTCCTAGTATAAGAATGCAAACTTTAGACTGTAAAAAGGAGCATCTTTCAGATATTCCGTTGTCATTAAAGGTGGGGTAAGCGACTTCTGGTAGCCAATGTTGACATTTGAAATCACCAAAACAAACACACTCCTACCCCAAAAGGGTCTCGCCCCTATTTTTATAGCTCCGCCCCACACATACGTACGCAACCCAGGCAATGATTAGTTCTGTGAAACAAAGCACAACCAATGTTACATGGCTACAAGTTTGTTTTGCTATTTGGCCCGAATCAGTTTTCTAAAGCGTTTTTGAAAAATAGCTTATCCCACCTTTAATTCCCCACCTTAATCATGAATTAAGGCAGCTTTATTAAGGCGTAGGCTACGAACACAGCTGTGGCAAGCAGTAGGCAGAGTCTGTATCCTCACTAAAGCTAAGCAGGCCAGAGACTGGTCAGTACACTGGTTGGAGACCGTTTGTGAAAATGTAGCTTGCTGCTGCAGCTAGTTTTAGTCCAGCCAGCAGGGGGTGATCATTCCCTGGCTGGAATGGGTGCAAAAGTCCTAGTGTAATGACGCAGACTTTAGACTGTGAAAAGGAACATCCTGCAGATGAGGCATTAAACTGGCCTCCTGACATTCTGTTGTCATGAATTTAGTCTGTGAAAAGGATGATCCTGCAGATGAGGCATTAAACTGGCCTCCTGACATTCCGTCGTCATGAATTCCACACCTCAGGTACGAATTTGACTTTGTTTTCTTTTTGAAGCTGGTAGCACATTCTGATGGCTGGTAGGTGAGGCATTAAACTAGCCTATTCGCCAGTCCAAAGGAACATCCTGCAGATGAGGCATTAAACTGGCCTCCTGACATTCTGTTGTCATGAATTTAGTCTGTGAAAAGGATGATCCTGCAGATGAGACATTAAACTGGCCTCCTGACATTCCGTCGTCATGAATTCCACACCTCAGGTACGAATTTGACTTTGTTTTCTTTTTGAAGCTGGTAGCACATTCTGATGGCTGGTAGGTGAGGCATTAAACTAGCCTATTCGCCAGTCCGCAACTATAGCGGGGAAGCGGGCAAATATTGGGTTCGTAGGACGATCCTCTCACTTTCAGGGACCCCAGGTGCTTGGTAGAGAGACAAACGAATAATAGTCTGCTGGGACATAAGGGCCCCCGTGTAATAGCCCCACATAGCAGGGGTTTTGCATGCGTATCCCCCCTTTTACCCCCAAAATACATTAGAAGTGGACATTTAAAGGGTCCCCAACAGCCACATTTACTTGGATATGGTTGCAAATATCTTTTTGGAAGACAAAATTCTCAATTTGTGGGTGAAGTTCTGCTTTAAAGGGGTCATATGATGCGATTTCAATTTTTCCTTTCTCTTTGGAGTGTTACAAGCTCTTGGTGCATAAAGAAGATCTGTAAAGTTGCAAAGACTAAAGTTTCAAATCCAAAGAGATATTCTTTATAAAAGTTAAGAGTCAGCCA